GGGAGGGGAGGGGCCTCAGCATGGTACAATGCCATAGAGTCCACCTTTCATAGCAACCATTTTCTCCAGGGGAGTTGGTCTCTGTCATCTGGAGATCAGTTGTAAAAATGGGAGATCCCCAGGCCCCACCTGGAGGCTGGCAACCCTACTTGGGACTGTAAAAAGAAGAGTTTTGTTAAACAACTGCAGACCATGCTATGTGGCTGGTGGACTGTTTGGCTTGCTCTGAAGGCCTGATGTATATTGTGGGCTCTTTGGAACAGGGATCCTTTGTGTCTTGTTCTATGCAGTTACTATTACAACTGATTTCTGAGCTTGGTTTGAAATACAGGACAGAACATTGCCTTCTCCTTCAGTGGGGGGAAGTCATCCAGGAACTGGTTAGGTCACGCCTCTGCTCGCTCGACATGCTATGCAGATTTCTTTTGTTGCGTGGCTCCTATTGGAGTGGCCTAGGCTGACCTCTCCAGTTTCTGCAGAAACAGACAGCAGAAGACCTTCCTTTCCCTCCCTGCAGGCCCCCAAGACAACAAGGGGTTACTGCCGAGGACCCAGGATGGGAAGAAGACGAAGAACGGCCCCCTCTACCTTCCGAGGCACCGGAAGGAGGACAAGAGGCCGCGACGGAGGCCCCTGTGGAGCAGCAGAACAGCATTCCCGAGGTACCGGGAGTCAGGCTGCAGGACAGGCAGCGGCTGGAGGAAGCGCTGCTGCAACAGCCGGAGGATGGCAGCTCCACCAACACGGGGCTGGCTGAACGCAAAGAGCCAGCTGGCCCCCGCACAACCCCCCCGCATGTGTTCCAAGATGGCGGCACCCAAACAAAGAACGGCAGCGGTGGTGGGACCCAGCAGTCGAAGCCTTCGGGCTCCTGTTCCCAGCCGCACGCCAAGAAGACGGCGCACTGGGCTGGCGCGATGGCCAGCGGCATGGAAGAGTGAAATGGCACGGGAAAAGCACAGGGCCGGCGAGCCCAGCCGGTGAGCACATTCCGACGGGGGGGGGGGGCTGACAGAGGAGGCTTCCGAGGGAGGCGCGCTGGGACTGCACCAGTCTCTGTCCAGCAGCCTGGGATCGGCGCCAGTCCAAATCTTTGCCCTGAGATGTGGCCACAGGAAAGCGTCGTGCATAGGCCGATGCTTAATTCGCCACCTGGACCCAATGTGGCCGCAACTGACTGCATGAAAATTGCACGCACACGACTAGAGGGAAAAGGATTTCCCCATGAGGTAATCGAGGTCATACTACAGGCATGAAGGCCTTCCACCCACCACATCTACAGTTATACATGGAGGAAAATGGTAAGATGAGCCACAGCATATGGGATGCACCCTCTACAGGCCACAGACAAGGAAGTCAGCCTGGGCTATCTGAGGAAGGGCGACAAGATCTTAGGCCAAAAACATTAAAATGGCAAGTGGAAGCCATACAAGCAGGTCTGGGATACCAAGCACGGAGGATGATGTCCACGAGCTGGGGGGTTACGAAATTTTTGAAGGGTGTTATCCAGCCGGCTCCTCCAGCCCAACACAGATTCCCGACGTGGAATCCCCACAGAGTACTACGCGCCTTGTCAAAGCCACCGTTCAAACACAGGTAGATGACCGAGTTCCGCCCTGTCTTCTTGGTGCTTGGGGGAGGGTCAACAGTGGGAGGGCTTCTAATTTTCTGGCCCCATTGGTGGACCTCCAGATAACACTGGTATTTCTGGCCACTGTGTGACACAGTGTTGGATTGGATGGGCCTTTGGCCTGATCCAACATTGACGTCTCTTATGTTCTTATGCCCTATGTCATAGAAGGTCGTTTCTCATTGTGGTGACCGCAGCCAGAAGGATCTCCGAAATGGCTGCACTATGGGTGAGGAAGGAGCTTTGCATCCTCAAGAACGACTCCGTCTCACTGCAGATGGGTCTGCCCTTCATACTAAGGTAAATTCGGCCTTCCACATCAACCAGCCTATCATGTTACCGTCATTTTGCCAAGGCCTACACACCCAAAAGAGAAGACCTGGCACAAGCTCAATGTACGTAAGGGCTCTACGTATACACCTCGACAGGACTGCGGTATTTCGACAGTCAGACGCATTGTTCGTGGCATATGGGACTCCCAATTAAGGCAAAGGTCCCCAAGGACACACTGGCCTATTGGATCAGACAGAGTGTTTCCAAAGTTGACGAGGGGCAGGGAAACCCCCCACTGGCCCACCTCACGGCACACTCCATGAGGGCAGCAGCAACGACAGCAGCCTTTTCCACACGAGCCACTGTAGAAGAGATCTGCAGAGCGGCGACCTGGAAGTCTTTTCCCACATGTGTGAGACTCTATAGGATAGACCAAGCGGCCTCGGCGGAGGCAGCATTTGCCAGAAGGGTCTTACAGCAGGTGGTGGAGACGTAAAAATAAATAAATAAATAGTAAAAACAACAACAAAAACAACGCGGTAAAACCACGAAGTGGAATCAGTCACCCACCCCGGAAGAATAGCTTGGGTACAGCTAACCAGTTCCTTGATGACTTCCTGGAACTGGGGTGTTAAAAATGTTTTTAACCCCAAAAAAAAAAAAAAAAAAAAAAAAAAGAAGAAGGGAAGGATATCAAGACACAGAAAGGCTTGGACATAACTGGAGAGGGCAGCCAGGGCCACTCCAACAGGAGCTATGCAACAAAAGAAATTTGCATAGCCTATCGAGCGAGCAGAGGCGTGACCTAACCAGTTCCTGGATGACTTCTCCCCCACTGAAGAGAAAGAACCTTCAGGTAGGTCCAATATACCGTTCTCATTAAATATCAGATCTGTGGCCCTTTTCACGGAATGCAGTCATAACAGTCCCAAGAATTGTGTTTTTTCCCCTAGAAAGCAGCCACACATATACATTAACATGGCTGGGGATATTGAAACACTCCAGACAATTAATCCTGACATTTCATGAGGCAGCTGAGTTGCTCTCTGTATTATTTTATTTTGGCATAAATGCCAGGGTTGATCAGCTTACTCCATTCAGAAGGTCACACAGAGTGACCAGTCACTCTCCAAGCAATTAAAGGTAGCTCCCTGTCCCTCCTCTAGAGCTCCTGTAATCCCTTTCTTACCCTTCCCTTTAAAGCCAACGCACAGCAACTTCTCTTTTTTCTCTTCCTTGCGAAGGGGAAGGAGGTGCATGTATGCATGTATATATCTTTGCTATGGATTTTCTTTCCCATTCATCTCTCTTTTGCCCCTATGTACACACACCCTTGCTGTGGATGGCGAAAAAGAGTGCTATTGACACTTTTACTCAGAATCAAAGCTCTTTGCCTCTTCCAGGGAAAAAAGAGGTAATTGTATATTTTTCCCTCTACAGGGAATGTTACAATTTCAGGTGATGCTGGTTTCCTTTGGGAAAACAGCCGAGAAGATGTTTCCACTCCAGAGCGCTGCAGACCTGTTGTAATTGTTATTCAACCTGCAATTTGTGATCACCTCCACCCACTGAGCCACCGTTTTGTGACTGGTAGCTCCCATGGTTTTTTGGGAGGAGGGGGGGATTAAATCACTCCCAGCCCCACCGGGTTACTTCCTTTTTTATTGGCTGCATCGCCCTATCCTCAGTGGTTCACTAGAGCCATTGATAAACTGAGATCTTTAGGACTAGACCCGTACCAACTTTTGGAAAGCGGCTATGCCAGGGCAAAATCTATTGTTTTCCAGCACCTCAGAGATATTGAGCTACAAACATCTTATGCCGCACTTCCGCCTCTTTTCAAATCTCTGAAATCCAAAATTTTTATGTCTGCCCCTTTATACTTAGCTAATATATCCAACCCGAATCACAGATGGGCCTTTTCCAGAGCCAGATTTGATACTTTTCCATCTGCAGTTCTTTTTGGAAGATTTCAACGCATCCCCAGGCATTTGAGACTGTGCTCATGCCCCTCGGAGTCAATAGAGACCCTTCCCCATATATTATTTCATTGCTCCTATTATGCAGAAGAAAGAGCCCTTTTAATTATGCCCCTGATAAGGTCATTTAGGTTCCAAGGACAACTAGTAATCCAGTCCGAGGAACTTTTGCTGAAATACTTACTGGAGGACAAATCCATGGCAATATCAAGGAAGGTTGCTAAATTTCTTTTTATTGCAATTATAAAGCGTAAGCACCTCCTTAATACTCCTCATGATGTCTCTTCTCTGTAACACCTCTCGATAACCTGGAGATTGTTTTTGATTTTGTATGCTGTTTGACGGGTCTTTGACCGTAATAAACTGATTGAATCACTCCCAGAAATGTGAAATCTGTGCCCTCCCATGGTCTATTTCATCATCAACAGGTCCCAATATAAGTTGCTTGCTTGGTTGTGGCATGATATTGTAAACTGTCATGGTGCCTTTGCCAAAACAGACAGCTAATAAAACTAGCTCTGATTTTGAATGTTATTTATATTGCAACAGATATGTATGTTTGCTACTCTTGGCTGCATCCACACACTGCTGGATATTGCACTGTAGCAATCATTAATTTCCTGGATATTCTTATTGATACAGGATAATCCAGTTGTAAATGACTGTACAACAGCCAGTGCTGTGTGGATGCAACCTTATTGCCAAGGAGCATTGTGTCCACCACTGGACTGATAGCAAGAAACTCTGTTAGCAAAGATGCAGCTGAGACACATGTAGAATGGATCCGGAATACTCCTGTGCAACTCAAGATAGCCATTCAGTTGGGGGAAACCCTGTGTGAATCTGAGCTCCATCCAAGGCTTAGAAAACTCTGCCAATTAATGCTAATTCAAAGCCCTGCTTTCTGGCAATGATCCTGGCAATATGCAGCAGATGTGTGACCTCAGGATTCTCTATCACTGTTCATGCATCCCAGAACCAATAGAGTTAACTCCAATGTACAGCTTCACCTGTTGCAACTGAGACTTTCCCCAGCTGTGGCTTTAAATAGTCTGTAGCTTCTTTCTCCACTCCTTTTAAAGAAGAAGCGTTGGGTTACAACAGCAGAGTGATAAATAGTAAAATGAGTGTTGGTTAGTAGTGCAGCTCTGTTCTTCCATTTGCCTGCCCTACACTCAGTTCCTCAGGAAGGACTCCTCTGAACTGGTAGGAAAAATGCCGCAGGTGAAAGTCCCAGGTAGGTCTAATTCCCATCCTGAAATGAAAGTAGACCAATTAGCCCAGGTAGCTACTGCAGCCTTCCTGTATATAATGATTATCAAAAACAAATGAGGCAGCTGCTAATTGCCCAAGCTTAAGGAATTTGTTCAGAAGGAAAATCCTTTTTATAAAACGTGTTAGAGAAGAAAGTGGAAAGAATGAGAACTTAAAGAACGGTCTGGAATGGCTATTAGCTGTGCAAAATGAATAATCTGGGTTGAAATGTCAAGGGAGTGGCCGCTATACTGCAGACATGAAGTTAGTTGGGCAAGACTGCAAATCCAGTTCTGCAGAGCCTGGCCACAAAAACAGTGGTAAATACAAACAATGTGTAAAAGAACACAGGCATGCTCAGACATCTGGTTTCCATTGATTGTAAAATGTGTGATGGAATATCATTTGGGACAAGATAATTGGCCTTTGATTCAACAGGCCTGTATGTTGTTCAGACATGCTCAAAAGTAATTCCAAATAGCTCCTTTTTGTCTACAAGCATGTGTCCTCAGTATCCCTTCCAGAAGTATCTTGTGCAGAAATGGCAATATAGTCCAAAAGAGCCTTGAACAGAATGATTAGAATAAATTAGATTTTTGCAATAGAATAACCTACATATTATATTAAATATAAACATTCTATATGAAAGTGATACCAGTTTAAAAACCACAGTACCAATCACTGTTTCCCCATTCATACAACAAAATTTTCTGAAGTGGGCAATACTGTTAAACAATTATGTACTAAAATATCTTTTTTGTTTTTGCACATTAAAGGTGCTTAGTAAAAAGGAAATGGCTCAACAAGTTCCTCCCTAATATTTGTATACAAAAAAACTTTAACTTTTATATTATTATTATAACAACAACGACAACAACAAATAGCTGCAACTAATGGCCAAGAACTTCTATAGTAATCATGCCACATGAAGTTTTTGCCATCTCCCAATCAGGACTGCTGATTTCTTCTGAGAAAATGCTAGGCATGCAATAACTTCTTTGGAACAAGATAGTTATATTTAACCAATACAGCTATGTAACATTTTGTACTTGTACATGCTTTTGAACAGGGCAATTATTAACTGTAGAACAGAGCCAGGTGGGCAGGCATGTTGGTTTGAAGCAGTAGAATTAAATTTGAGTCCAGAGGCACCTTTAAGACCAACAAAGTTTTATTCAAGGTATGCATTTTCATGTGCACACACACTTCCTCAGCTACATTGAAATGGAAGTTAACAGTCCATACATATAGGCAGATGGTGAACAACAAATTAGCATACAATATGCAAAGACCAAAAGAATAGCAAGCAAAGCTTTTATATGGTCTGCCTGTATGTATGGACTGTTAACTTCCATTTCAATGTATCTGAGGAAGTGTACGTGCACACGAAAGCTCATACCCTGAACACAACCTTGTTGGTCTTAAAGGTGCCACTGGACTCAAGCTTTGTTCTAACTGTAGAACAGACATTTTGCCTCATTACGGTGCTCTTCTAACCAGTTACACTCTTCTAAGCCTACTGAAGTCAATGAGTTTAAGATGGCACTGTTAGTCTTTTTTTGAGACCATGCTTTCCTTCCTTGCATCAAGCAAAGAGCTGAATCCTGGCAATAGATACATAACAACATTGTCATTGTGGAACTAAAAGTGCAATTGGATCTTTGCTTAGTAGCTATAGAAGTACTGATTCAATCCAGCAGTTGTAATGAGCAAACATGGAGTATTTAGCTTTAAAAATTCATGTAGTCTATCTTTGTGTGATTAATAGATAACACAAACAAACAAAACTTTTTAGTCACCCACAGTGTGATCAAAATTAGGAATAGCCTTTAAATCATTCAAAGTGGGAGGTCCAGGAATCTAAAAACAGGAAGGAAACGACCTCAGCACGGTATAATGTCAAACATTCCACCCTCCAAGCAGTCATTTTCTCCAGCGGAACTGATCTCTGTAATCTGGGGATCAGTTATAATTTTTTATTATTATTCATTTCTACCACGCCCTATCCCACGATAGATCTTCAGGTCCCACCTGGAGGTTAGCAACCCTAAGCAGAGGTGTGTCACAGCATCGTGCCCCTTTGCTAATCCAGTCCAACCCAGATCTTTTGTGAAAAGGACATAGCACCCGTGCATTGTTAAATCAGGAGAAGTTTCAGTTTAAGTAATCTTGCCTAGCAAGTCTGGCAAACAAACATCAAACATCACCAAGTTCACTAAGCAGAAGACTTTCTGCTCTCGAGTTGCACCAGAAAGTTGCACTTCTAAGCAAGCACTCCATGGGCAGAGAATAGGGCTTAGCGCCCTTGAACATCATATTCTCATATAAAGTGCCTTTGCCATGCTTTACCAGTGCTTAATTTCTAGAAACCAAGATACTGGGGCTCATGTCTATCTGGAATCAGATCAAGACAACCTTCAGGTTTTGAGCACTCCTCAGTATGAGGCTTTCTGCTGGGCATGATATCTGCAGCGGCTACTGTCTTCTCCCCCCTATCAGTCAACTGGCAGCTATTGGTACTGTGGCTCCAGAGAGGGAGACAAAACTGAGAGATGGGTGGTGGCCCTAGCCACTATCAGTGCTCTCTCGCTTGGGTGGGCAGGTAAGCGATGATGCTTCTTAGAGGCAGCAGCTGTTCCTCTCAGGATGCTGGCCTCAGCAACCAGGGTTGTTTTTGGGCAGGAACACACAGGAACGGAGTTCCGGCTGGCTTCAGAGCTGGCCATGCCCACTACAGCCAAAACCTCTGCGTGCGTGGCTACAGAGGGAAGGCCTGGAGAGTGACCTCCCCCCGGTGACACCAAGGTGGGCGGGTCGGGGGGGGCCTGGAAGAATTGGGGAGGCATTTAAATGTCTCTCCATGTCTTCTCCGGCCTATCCAATGGCTGGCTTGCCCAGGCTCCCCGCAGCCGTGGGGCGCCCGAGCAAGCCAAGGGAAGGCAGTTTAAATTGCCTCCCCTCCCCTCCAAGGGCCGACTTGCCTGGGCTCCCCGCAGCTGCGGGCGACCGGGCAAGCCAAGGGAAGGCATGGGGTGTGGCCTAATATGCTAATGAGCTGTGCTCAGGGGCATGGCCTAATATGCTAATGAGTTTCAGCTTTTGGGTGTGGCCTATTATGCTAATGAGTTCCTGCTGGGCTTAAAAAAAAAAAGCCCTGTCAGCAACTGCCTCAGGATGCTGACCTGTGATGCTGCTGTCTCTGATCCCCAAGTGTGTGCCCCAGTGCCTGATATGCAAGGATTCTCTCTACTTATTTCAGTAATGAGGCAAAAGCTTTATTTATGTGTGGAAGTAGCAGTACTACAGCCCTCTTTCGTATGTTCATTGGGGTGAGGATGATTTGGGGTCACTTCGACTGGCTTCACCACTAACGTCTGTGTGTTCAAAGTTACCATTTGCACATTGTCCACATTTATGGATATATAATCAATGTACCGAGTCCCATACATGTATTCTGGTACCCAGGAAAATGGAAGACCTTGAATCGTGCATATAGGAGCATATGCATATTCCAAATTCTCTACAAATAGTATCTCTTAATTCATGGAGGTTGAGGTTGTGTGAACCCAAATGAACTTACCAAAAGTCCCTGGAACTTGGAAGTAGGATTGGAAGGACTGCAATCCAAAAACAGACCACAGCAATGAGGAAGCCTGAGCAAGCTGCTTCAACTGTTTTCGTAATTGGTGGTATTTTTTGTTCTAAAGATGTACAAAAACTGTGGTGTGCAACGTGTGTAGACAAGAATTCTGGAAACCCTTAAAAATATAGCTGTTCTTTTCTCTGTATAAATATGAACAACTAGTAAAACCTTTATCATGTGATTAAACTTGGAGATCTGATCACATTTTTATTTTATTTTAATCTCAAGCAGTGGAGGAGAAACGTGAGTATTATTAGGCCTTCTTTGTGCCTTCTGCTGTCCTGTCAAGCAGATGATCATTGGCAATGTCCAACAGACAAATGATCATCGCAACTCAGGGACTGTGCATTTCTCAGCAGCAATTGCCAAGAGTTAGAGACTCACCTGAGGATGAGCTTGCATGGAGCATGGCAGAAGGATGCGGTCCTTGTAGTTTTTGGTTCACTACTGAGAGAAGCTTTACCCATCCTGCATCATCCCTTTCAGATAACTTCTGGTGAAATTCCAACCAGTAATAGAATCATAGAGCTGGAAGGGGCTTCCAGGGTCATCTAGTTCAACCCCCTGCACAATGCAGGAAATTCACACATTTCTCACCCTGTGGCCTGTTCTATACCCCAAAGAGGGCAACTCCTCCCCAACCAGGATCCCTGGCCAAACTGGCCTGGAGAACAATTGCTTTCTGATCCTCAAGTGGAGATTAGCATTTTCCTGGGCGTGTAAGAAGGGGCCACAAGAACTCAGCACTGAGGCAACCCTTCCTACCCTCCCTCTCATGATCTGCCGAAGTTCACAGAATCAGCATTGCTGGAAAATGTCCATCTAGACTCTGGTTGAAAACCTCCAAAGGAGAGCCCACCACCTCCCGAGGAAGCCTGTTCCACCGAGGAAGCACTCTTTCAGGAAGTTCTTCCATATGTTTAGCTGAAAACTCTTTTAATTCATCCCGTTGGTTCTGGTCTGACCTTCTGGAGCAACAGAAAACTGTACCATATGACAGCCCTTCAAGTATTGAAGATGGTTATCATATCACCTCTCAGTTGTCTCCTCTCCAGGCTAAACATACCCTGCTCTTTCAACCTTTCCTCACAGGACTTGGTCTCCAGACCCCTCATCATCTTCGTTGCCCTCTGGACATGTTCCAGCTTGTCTGTGTTCTTTTAAAATTGTGGTGCCCCAAACTGAACACAATATTCTAGGTGCGGTCTAACCAGAGCAGTGTAAAGTGATACCATTACTTCGTGTGATCCGGACACTATACTTTTGCTCAACATCGCATTTGCCTTTTTAGCTACTGCATCACACTGCTGACTCATGTTCAGTGGATGGTTTACTAAGACCCCTAGATCCTTTTCACACATACCACTGGCAAGAGAAGTCTCCCCCTTTCTATAATTATGCATTTGATGTTTCCTACCTAAATGCAGAACTTTACATTTATCCGCATTGAAATCCATTTTATTAGCTTTAGCCCAATTTTCAAGCCTGTCAAGATGATCTTGTATCCTGATTCTGTCTTCTACCATATTTGCTAAAGTAAAGACAAAGGTTTCCCTTGCTTGAAAGCCAGTCAAATCCAACTCTAGGGGGCGGTGCTCATCTCAGTTTCCAAGCTGAAGAGCCAGCGCTGTCCGCAGATGTTTCCATGGTCATGTGGCCGGCATGACTAAATGCTGAGGTGCATGGAATGCTGTTACGTTCCCACTGAAGCAGTACCTATTTATCTACTTGCAGTTTTTTGCTTTCGAACTGCTAGGTTGTCAGGAGCTGGAACTAGAGATGGGAGCTCACTCCGTCATGCGGCACTAGGGTCTCGAACTGCCAAACTACAGACCTTCCAGTCTACAGCTCAGCATCTTAACCTCTGAGTCTCCATGGCCCCTCCCAATTTAGTGTCATCTGCAAATTTAATAAGCATTCCATCTATTCCTTCATTCACATAATTTATAAAAGTGTTGAACAAAACAGGTCCCAGGACAGATCCCGGAGGCACTCCACTTGTCACTCTTCTCCAAGAGGATGAGGAACCATTCACAAGCACTCTTTGGGTGTAATCTGTCAACCAGTTACAGGTCCTCCTAACAGTCATAGGATCCAAACCACATTTTATAAACTTGCCAACAAGAATATTATGCAGAACTTTACTAAAAGCCTTACTGAAATCAAGATAAACTATGTCTACAGCATTCTCCTGATCCATCAAGGTAGGAACTTTCTTGAAAAAAGAGATAGTCTGACATGACTTGTTCTTGAGAAACCCATGGTGGCTCTTAGTGATCACAGCCATCATTTCTAAATGTCCAAGGACTGTCTGTTGAATGATTTGTTCTAAAACTTTCCCAGGTATAGACGTCAAGTTGACAGGTTGGTAGTTACCCAGATCCTCCCCCCCCCTTCTTGAAGATGGGTTGAAACTCTATATGAACCCTATATGAATTTTACTATTACCATTGTAGACCCAACAATAGCTGTGGTGTCTTATGTTTGTTCAGTCATGTGTCCACAAATCGCTCGTTTCCATGTGCAAAATTGATCCAGAAATGTGATATGAAATGACCCTAAAATTATCCTTTGTATGAAAGCAGTAAAACTCTTGAAGTTTTCTACCTGCTCAGACAGAGCATGGGACTAAGTAATCATCTTTGTTCCTTCAAAATACCCATCTCTCACTTTCCCTTATAAGTCTTTAACCAGTAGCTGTCATTTCCAGCTGCCACTCAATCTTGTCTAGTTTACCCCATCGGTGGTTAAACCAAACAGATAACAATGCAGAGCTCTATACTGCTTCTTGGCCTCTGATGACGTGTTTTGAGCTCACATGGTATATCCATGTACTTGTGGTTTTGTGCTTACTGTTCATGGACCTCAACAAGCTTTTCAGAACTGGACTAGTTACTTCCATGGCTTTATTAAGGTGCGATACTTCAGTGAAAACAATACAGTCCAATTTCCTCTGTCCCTTGTTTTACTCAAGAACTAGGTGGAAAAACCTGTTCCTGTAAAATGGACCCCACCAGCACCTACCTGCTCAGGAAATAGGAAGGGGATGAATGATGACTGAAGTTTCCTGATGGTGTGCTCACCCTGACCTGAGGTTGTGAACCTGACTCTAGGCTTGTCTACTTATCAGGCTCTTGGTAGATCACTATGCTTGGAGACTGGGAATTGGCAGGTTGCCCTGCTGAGAAATGATTGTCTTTCTGGGCTACTTGGCTGAGCATGGACTACTTTGCCTAGCAGCCTCTGTCCCTGAAGAATTTGCTGCCAGGATGGAACTGAGCTGAACCAGTGGCTGCTTGGAAAACACAGATACAGCATCTCTAAGCAGGCACTAGGAACTCAGAGCAGAATGACCAGATTCCTCCCCCTTATTTCCCATCTCCTAGGCTACTATTCCTGGTTTACTCTCCATGTGCATTGTCTGTCTGGAAAGTAGTGTTGCATGCACCTGTCACTAGCATGGCCTTAAGCATTCCCATCCCATTGCCATGACATCCTGTGCGCATCCTGTTTATTCCACTTGCAGAGAAATAAACAGAAAAAAAGAGAAAGAGAAAGAGAGAGAGAGAGAGAGAGAGAGAGAGAGAGAGAGAGAGAGAGGCTTCTCTCTTTTATTGACAACCTTTTCAATTACATTGCAGCAGCTGTATTCCATGTCTACTTATTTCAGAATAAGTCCCACTGAATAAAGTGTGATTAACTTTGGCATAAGCATGCCTATGATTGGGCTGTAAATCCATAAGAACCTTTCACAGGAAGTTGCTTTGGTTCCACTTTAGTCTTGCACAGGTGTCTGTATGTGAGGGGTTCCCACCTCTGCAAGGGTACCTGCATATTCAACCACTGCTAACTACAACAAGAATCCATCATGTGGCAGCCTCAGTCCATTGAGAAGGTCAGAAGCCTGCAGCTTAGGACTCTCTGGCCAAAACCAGTTGTGATCCATGGATTTTTTTGTATAGTTTTCCCACCATAAATGAGGTGGGTTTCTGTAATGGATAAAGGTAATAGGTTACTCCCAGACTCTGACCTCCAGGGTCTGCAGTGCCCTCTGAGGAAACCCCTTACAGGTAAGACTCTTCTTTCTGAATCACATGGGTTCTCATGAGCTTGGAATCCTACCTGTTAGGAAGCTGACTGTTTACAGCCATTTCATACTCCTTGGTAGGTAGGGACAGGTTATATTTGGACACCCAGAAAAGGTACACCCATCCCTCGTGGGCCTGCACCATCACTAGCCAGGTCCAAGAAAGGCGCCTGAAGCAGCACTGGTGCAAGCCCAGGAGATGAGGTCTGTCACTTCCCATACCCCTGATGGGTGGGAGTCTGCCAAGCTCCGTCAGTATGTTCCTCATTGTGCTTCCCCAAGCAGATGTTTCAGTGGCTTGGCCAGACAACAGACCTTCTTGGTAGCCTGTACTGTGATGATGTCATGAATGCTTATTGGGGGTAAAAAGCCAAACCCATCTGCCTTCATTTTATTTCTCCCTTTACTCTCATTGCCATGTGATCCTGCTCATTGTCACAGATATATTTGGATGTGGAGAAAGACAAGATTCAGAATCTAGAACAGTCAAATGGAGACAAAGAGAAGCTCGCTGGACTTCTCCATCCTGTCTTGAATCTCTGCATCCATTGTTTGTCATTTTCCCAATCTCTCCTCATTTTCCTAGGTTTAGTTCCTGGGATATCCAGTTAAACAGATCTTGAGTAGAAGTGTTGATTAAAAAGCCTTACCTAAAATCTTGGGGAGACTGCCCATCAGAGTAAATTTTAGTGAGGGAGACTGACTGATGAAACAACGTGGTATAAGGCGGCTCCCTATACCTGTGACCTTCCTTCCTGTAAACCTCAGATCATGCCAGCTGAATGCGAAGATCATGCCTAGAGCTGTGGTGCAGGTTTTTCCAATTCCATGGCAACTGTGACACATTTGGAAGCTCTTCAGGTCCCTGTGGTATCAAAGAACATGAAGATCCCTAGCCCTTTTCAGGCATTAAGTTTCTGACACTGGGATTACATGTACAATCCCAATCTCTCATATTTTACATGCTACCAACCAGTTTATGAAAGAAATTGGGTTCTGCCATGACAGAAACAAAGAACCCCACACTTTTTTTGAGAAGGACATTTATATGTTTACAGGCATTCTGTTATTATATTTATCATTTACAGTTTAAAGACATAAAAAAATTGCAGAAGCGTAATGGGTAACCCCTGGCAGGTAGGGTTTGCAGGATGTGGCGCTTCAAAGACACTTGCTGGTGGGCAGGGGAAATGGGGGATTAAGAGAAACACCGAGTACCTGAGGTTACTACTAGCATGTCAAAAGGTGACAGATGGATCATCTGTGGCAGGTAGTGTCAGCAGGAGACTGCACATCACACTTGCGGGTAGATATGGGAACTGAGAAAGAGAGAATGTGTCCCACCAATGGTACATGTGTAAAAAGGTAAAGGTAAAGGTAAAGGTTCCCTTGCTCGAAAGCCAGTCGAGTCCGACTCTAGGGTTGCAGTGCTCATCTCCGTTTCAAAGCCGAAGAGCCAGCGCTGTCCAAAGACGTTTCCGTGGTCATGTGGCCGGCATGACTAAATGCCAAGGCGCACGGAACGCTGTTTCCTTCCCACCGAAGTGGTACCTATTTATCTACTTGCCATTTTTTGCTTTCGAACTGCTAGGTTGGCAGGAGCTGGAACTAGAGACGGGAGCTCATTCTGTCATGTGGCAATTCGGGTCTCGAACTGCTGAACTACTGACCTTCCACAGCCTGCAGTTCAGCGTCTTAACCACTTGAGCCACCGCATGTGTACCAGTCAGTTAACCACTGGTGTACTCATTCCTCTACTGAGGATGAAAATATATGTTGGTGCACCAGAAACCTAATGCCTGAAAAGGCCCCCGTGTGCTCTCAAAGAGGAGCTCAGATTCCCAGGCCACCTGTAGGAATAGTGTGAAACAATCCTGTTTTTTTCCCATAATAGCACCAGACTGGTCTGATGCCCATTGGCTTCTCCCAACAGAAACTGACGATGCCATGCGCTCCTTTGCTGAGAAAGTCTTTGCTTCAGAGGTGAAAGATGAAGGTGGTCGACATGAAATCTCCCCCTTTGATGTGGAAGAAGTCTGCCCCATCTCCCACCATGAGATGCAGGAACATCTGATCAAGCAGGAGACTTCAAGTGACTCTGACAAACTGTAAAAATAGAGTGTGTGTGTGTGGGGGGGGGGGAACATGGAAAATTGGGAATGAATGACCAGGACCAATGAGAGGCACCGTTAGGGCCATCAGCCACAGTTACATGACCAAAGCTGTATGTGCAAGAGATTCCTCGCCTCAAGACCCAAACCAGAGGTGTAGCTGAAGGCATTTTGATGCTTGACAGAGGACATCCCAATCACATTCTCCTTCCTACTCCATGGGGGTAAAAAATATAATAACCAAAATAATTGACAATGTGACGCATTACACCCAAGTCTGTTGTTTGAGGGAGGGCCCTTCCTCTTCACTGAACTCCGCTCAAGGCCTTCGGACTTGAATGGTCACAAAATAGACAGCACACTGTTGGAGGGTACGCAGGCTGATCATATTGCTTGGCCATACTTCAGATCTGTTCACACCAGTGTTCCCTCTAAGCTGAGTTAGTGTGAGCTAGCTCACAGTTTTTTAGCCTCCAGCTCACAGATTTTTGTCTTAGCTCAGGAAGGATGGCTCCGAAGCAAACTAGTTTATGCAGTAGCCAAATCACCTGCTCACAACTTTAATGCCAGTAGCTCACAAAGTAGAACTTTTGCTCAAAGAACTCCATAGTTTAGAGGGAACCTTGGTTCACACTCTGGTGAATCACGATGGTTAACAATGTGGAAGTGACAGGCCACCAAGCAAGCCACAGCAATGTACCGTACAGCACTATGGAGAAATGTGCAATAGGATTAAGCCATGTCAGGGCACCTTCCAGCATGAAGCATTCAGTCTGCTCTTTCATTGGTTAATCCCAGCAGAGAAAGACCAAGGAATCCAATATTTGAATACCCAGCCTTCAAACTTAAACCAGATCTCCACTAGCTTTGCCATTCTCCAGGTGGGGCTTAGAGACCTCCTGGAATTACAACAGATCTCCAGACTACAGTGATCAGTTGTCCCTTGAGAAAATGGCTGGTTTGGAGAGTGGACTCTATGATATTATACCCCACTGAGGTCCCTTCCGTCCCCAAACCCTACCCTTCCAAGACTCTACCCCCAAATCTCCAGGAATTTCCCAACCTGAGGTTCGCAACCATACTCTCTGCACAGATTTTCAAAACCTAAAGCAATGCTAATGAAAAGCATGTATAGGGACAATAACTGTTGTCCTGCTTTCCTAGTAACTGAATAGCACAGAACTGATCCTAACCCTATTGCTTTGCTGTCCTTTCTGTTCATTGTTCATTATGCATCATAGGAAGAAGAGGCTTCTGCGGCTGAAGACCATTGCCTTGGTTCTTCCAGTTGCAGGAAAGTCTTCAACCAAACTGTCCACCATTGACGAGGTCATCTCTACGTCAGCTCAGTATCAAGCTGTGCCCAAATTCCAGCGTGTGCAGATCACGGGGGACTATGCAGCAGGGGTCAGTAACTGGAGGCACCAGGCCATCTCCTGTCAGGACAGAATCAATTCTCTCATCGCTTCCTCTTCCTCACTAGATCTCTCAGATATCTGTTTCAGACACTAAATTACTTGGTGGTAATTCCAGATGGACTGCCATGCCGCTCTGTAGCACCAACATAAAACGGGTGTCCAGTGACATTGTAAAGACTAACAAAATTAATCACGGCATAAGAATTCACCAGGGGAAGCTCACTTGAATGTAACAGATGCATTTGATGAAGGGAGCGAGCACCATGATGAACAAATGTGACTCACAAAAGCTTATGCTGGAACAAATTTTGTTAGTCTTTAAGGTCCCACAAGACTCTTTTTTTCAGTAAACGCCTATGATTTATGATTCTATGCAGTCCCTTGGACTGCAAGAAGATCAAATCAGTCAATCCTAAAAGAAATCAACCCTGACTGTTCCCTGGAAGGCCAGATAATGAAACTGAAGCTCAAATACTTTGGCCACCAGATGAGAAGGGAGCACTCACTGGAGAAGACCCTGATACTGGGAAAGATTGAAGGTCAAAGAAAACGGGGACGGCAAAGGATGAGATGGTTAGACAGTGTCATCGATGCAACGAACATGAAGTTGAGCAAACTTCAGAGGACGGCGGAAGACTGGAAGGCCTGGCGTGATCTGGTCCATGGGGTCACGAAGAGTCGGACTCGACTGTGCGACTGAACAACAAGACTCTTTTTTCAGTAAATGCCTATGATACTCATGCACCCATCCACGTGTGATCACACGGCTGCACTGCCTGAGCAAAGAATAGTTTTGCCCCAGTTTCGCAAATACTGTTGCTAGAAAGCTTGAACATGGGTTACATCCCTTCTTCTTTGCAAAAAAAGTGTTATCTTGACCACATACATTGACCACATACAATGAAATGGAAGGAAAGATGCATTTACTGTGCAACAAACCCAATCACACAGAAAAGCCCTTGATGAATCGCCATCCCCTGAAATCATCCTACACTTCTAGCCTCGAGGAATACAGCCAAGCCATGTAATGGGGGGGGAGGTGTTCAAAAAGTCCCAAAGATTCATCTCTTCCTGCTCTTAACTGGGTTGGTTAACTATGTCTGTTCTTTGATTGTCCTAACCTGAACCTGAGATAAATAAATCAAACCCTGAGATGGGTTTGCTGGGTCAAGAGATATTGATGAAATAGAAGTGGAGCCCATCCTGGTGCTTAAAATAGCTCCAGCCTTTGGGTCTGGAGACAGCCCCTGATCGCTTTTCATTGCAAGCCTTAGACAATTCTGAAGAGAAACAGCTGTTAAAATAAATTGCTGTATTTGCTCCATTATGGAACAACAAAGGCTCCAACTTCATCACTGCCGTTATCCTCCCTCGCCCAATATTCAGTGTGAAATTGCAAGTGTAGGTCATGCTAGAATAGCATAGTGACTGCCATCTTTATCACACATGGTTTTTGCATGCTCAAGTGTTTTATCTTCTCTATGGGCCTACAAATTGTAAAGAATGTGTCTTTCAGGTGACAGTGGAGGACTTTGAGCTGGTCTGCAGAGGTTTGTATCGTGCTCTGTGTATTCGGGAGAAGTACCTGCAGAAGTCCTTCCAGCGTTTCCCCAGGACTCCCTCCCAGTTCATGTGCAACATTGAGAATGAAGTGTGGAAGCCCAATAATGATCTGTGGCCAGGTAACTCTAGGCAGTTATGAATGGGCATGGGGCTAAGCAATGGCTTGGGAATCCTAGACTGTCCTGCTTGTGGGTGTACCTGGTTGTGTGTGTGGAGAATCTGTAGGTGTCTGGGAGTAGATTCACTGTCTGGACATGTACAAGCAGTAACCAGTCCACACAGAAACTGGGTTCTGAACAGAGCACTGTGGAGTCTGCAGTAGATCCAGGTGGGGGTAGCCGTGTTGATCTGAAGCAGCAGAACAAAGTTTGAGTCCAGTGGCAGCTTTAAGACCAACATAGTTTTATTCTGGTTATAAGCTTCTGTGTACAAGCACACTTCTTCAGTTAAACTGAAACAGAAGTCACCAGCGTATAGGTTGAGGATGAGGAGGATGTTGCCAGACAGGGCCAGTTAGAGTCAAGATGCATAAGTTAACTGAACAGTAAATATAGGTAAGATTGGAAGAAATCCATAGGTAAGACCTGTGAATAGCAGCAAACTAGCATACAGCTTAATAAAGGCATTTACAAACAGATGTGAGAACTGAATTATGTTACCATGTGTAGTGAAATAAGAATCCAATGTCTCTGTTAAGCCCTAGGGGTTCCGTTGTCCTGATTGTAACTCAGCAATCTCCTATTCTAGTCTGTTTCTGAAGTTACTTTACAATAAAACAACTACTTTGAGCCCCCCCCCCTTTGAATGTTATGGTAGGCTGTTCTCTTCAGTTTTGTGATTCGTGATGTCATATTTGTGTCCATTTATCCTTTGGTGTAGGGTTTGACCTGTTTGCCCTATATAGAGAATTGAAGGGCATTGTTGGCATTTAATGAAATATACAATGTTAGAAGATGAGCAAGTGAATGAGCCTGAGATGGAGTGGTTGATGTTGTTAGGTCCAGTGATTGTGTTGTCTGAGTTCGTTGGTGACTTCTGGTTCAATGTATCTGAAGAAGTGTGCATGCACATAAAAGCTTGTACTCAGAATAAAACTTGAGTCTGCAATAGTGAGAGATGCTTCCTACAGGTTCCTTGGAGACCCAGACCCACACTAATGATCTTGCCAACTAGAGCCATAGAGGTTCAGCTCTGTCTTTGCTGATGCCTTTGATTTTTAATGTCAAATACAGCACTTTGTGGGAGGGTGGGAGTCATGGCCTGAGAGGCATGCAGACCTGAAATTCAGGCTACATTCCCATGCTGAATCATTTTTCCAACAGTATATGCAATATGGTATAGCCATATGTTACAGGTGCAGCCTGATCTAAATGTGAGTGCTCGTGGTTCTGTCACATAAATTCAATCTTGCCCATAATCTGAATCAGACCATAACCTTCCAAGCTTGACTGCCACCAGTTGTCAGTTCTATTTATATACAGGTTGACAAGGGACTTGTAAATCAAATGAGGATATGGTACAAGACATGAGAACTCTGGGCATCCATCTTCTTGGGCTGCAGCAGAGTCCTTTACACCTTTGATTAATATCCACCTGGAGTCTCAGCAAGAAAGGCAGTCTATAAATGAAGGAAATAATAATACTAATTTCTCTATATATTCTGGATTTTCACAGCATAGTAGATATGACAATTGTTTTGAGAACAAGGCAAAATTTTCAAATTGCTGTGCAAACCAGAAATAATCTGTGATATTTTATAAGGAAATAGTTCACTATATGCCCAAAACAAGACTAAAAAAAAGATTTGTTTACTCAGTAAAACGTATCCACATTAGATATTGGTCACTGTAACAGAAGGAATGGGGAAATGTGCCTTTTCTTGCTGGGAAACTCTCTTAGGCTAAAGGTTCCTGGAAAGAACTTGGTAAGGGCTGCTACCACTCAGGGATCCCCTGAGAACATCTAGACTGACCCACTAAGAAGCATGCCTTCTAGCGCAGTACTAGACCAATACAGAACCAACAGGGTGTAAACCCTGGAGAATACCTTATAGAAAACTTTTTTGCATCCATGAGGTCTAGCACATAGAGAAATATCCTAGAGAAATATACTGTAATGAAACAAAGCAGTGAGAAAGTCTTTATAAAAAGAAAGTTTATTATAAAAGGAAAAAAGAGAAAGGGTGGTTGGATTCAAAAAGGGTTGGGGAAAAGGCAAGGCAAAGTTGACAGGAACAAAGGCGAGAATTTTTACAAAGAGCTGTATAAAAAATTTGATGTTAACACTGAACAGATAAAAGAGTATTTGAATATTCATCGATTCAAGAGATTTACAGAGGAACAAGGGGAGACTCTTAATCAACCAATTTCAATGATGGAAGTGGTGGAGGCCTTAAAAAGACAAAATAAAGGTAAAGCCCCAGGACCGGATGGTCTTCCAATAGAATTTTATCTTACGTTTGAAGATCAACTACAATTGTATTTTAAGGACTTGTGTAATAATATATGGGCCAACAGAAAGATACCAGAGTCATGGAAAGAAGCAATCATCTCTCTAATACATAAGCAAGACTCAGATGAAAAATCTATCAAAAACTATAGACCGATTTCTTTATGTGGACTACAAAACTTTCGCTTCAATAGTGGCTGAAAGATTTTAAAAAATTCTTGCAAACATTATACATAAAGATCAAGCAGGTTTCTTGCCAAAAAGACAAGAATAATTTGAGATGTATTTTGGATACAATAGAATATTATGAAGTACATTTGGAAAAATCGTTGGCGTTGATGTTTTTAGATGCTGAAAAAGCCTTTGATAATGTGAATTGGAATTTTATGTTGGAAGCTTTTAAAGAGGCGCAGGCAGGAATGAATTTCATTAAAATGATCCAGGCAATTTATACTAAGCAAAAAGCGGCTGTAATGATTAATGGGGAACAGACACAAAATATCAAAATTCAAAGAGGAACAAGACAAGGTTGTCCACTCTCCCCTCTGCTGTTCATCTTTGTCCGGGAGATATTGAATGATTCAATAAGAGGCCAAGAAGAGATAAAGGGTTTAAAGTTGAAAGGAGAAGAATATAAACTATTGGTCTTTGGTGATGATTTAGTATTTATTTTGGAGAACCCCTTGGAATCAATTCATGTTTTGAAACAAGAACTTTAGGAATACAGAGTTGTAGCAGGTTTGAAAATAAACATTAATAAAACTAAGATAATGACTAAAAATATGGAAGAGGAATGGGCTCTTCAGTTGCAAGAACTTTCAGGCTTTCAGCTGCAGAAGAAAATAAAATACCTAGGGATTACAATGACAAATAAATGCTGTTCATTACAAGAAAATAATTATAAAGAACTATTAAAAAAAACAAAACAGGATCCGGAAAAATGGAAGGATCTACAGATATCTCTGATGGGACGCATTGCTACAATTAAAATGAATATACTTCCAAAGTGGCTATTCTTATTTCAGACCATTCCGATCTTACAGAATCAAACCATATTCAAGGAACTGGAGCAGGCGATCTCTAAATTTATATGGCAAGCTAAGAGACCCAGAATAAGACTGAAAGCCTTGCAGGATGTAAAAGAGAGAGGGGGCTTTGGACTCCCCAACTGGAATCTTTATTATAGAGCAGCTGCCATGATGTGGATTAGAGACTGGATCATGTTGGAAGATAAGAGAATATTAAAATTGGAAGGTCGTGATCTGTTGTTAGGTTGGCATGCTTTTCTATGGTATGGCAAAGCTAGCACCCATAAATATTTTAAACACTGGATTCGGGTGTCGCTATTGAAAGTTTGGGAATTTATACATAAGCAATTTTATACAAAAAATTCAAGACTGATTGTTCCTTTAGAAGCTATTGTACCTCCAAATGTTTATCAGGAAGAAACACTTAGAAGATATATGGACATAATAGACT